CTCTCTGAGAGAGATTAGGGGAAACACCTTCAGAGCAGCACCCCCAAAATCAGATACTTAGAAATCAATCTAGCAAAGGAATTAAAAGATTTATACATTGAAGATTCCAGTCCTCTGAAAAAGGTGATTGAAGAGGATTTCAGAAAATGGAAAGCTATCCCTCGCTCATGGTTAGGAAGAACCAACACTGTAAAAGTGGCCCTACTTCTAAAGTTGTTATATAGATTTAATGTAATCCCAATCGAAATATTAGCATACCTTGGGGAGATGGCTCAGTAGAATAAGCGCTTGTCTGGCAAGCATAAGGGCCTGAGTTCAATCCCCGGTTCCACCAAAAAATAAAAAATAAAAAAGATGAAATATTAGCATACCTCATGGAACTAGAGAAAACAGCCCTAAAATTCATTTGGAACCTGAAGAGACCTACAATAGCAAAGGCAATCCTGGACAACTGTGACGGACCACCGGGGCGGTACTCCTTGAAGGAGGGGCAGTCGTCTGCATTGCGGCCGAGCCTGGCCCTATTTCCATGTGCTGATATGTACAGAGCTGGCTAGGATTCTTCCTCACCCTCTCTTTCTTTCTTTTTTTCTTTTTTGCGGAACCGGGGGTTGAACTCAGACCCTTGCGCTTGCCAGGGAAGTGCTTATTCCACTGAGCCATCTCCCCGGCCCCTCACTCTTTCAGCTGGCTTTGAGCAATGCAAACTGGCTCAGCTGAGGTGCTGAAGCAAAGATGGGTGGGCAGCATTCCCTTGGTCCTCCGTAGCGCCAAAGAAGTGAGCCAGGGTGAGGTGACCGCATGCTCCAGCTGCCAGCTGAGACTGAGCCTCAAGACGAGAGGCTATGACTTCCCAGGGCACGAAAGATTGCCTATCAGGGCTGAAGCACCCAAACCTCACACGCAGAGCTGCTGTGCACATCACTCCTTCTGCATACTGCAGAGGCGATTTCCACCCTTTGCCCAGCCGCTCTCAGCCCTCCTGCACGTGCCACTCTCTCACAGCCACTTTTCTTCAAGCCACTCCTTTCTTCACGAATTGGTAAAGCCCAGGCTCAGCCCTGGGCCAGGGACTTTGCTCCAGTTAGAACCCCTTGGCTCCCAGAACCACAAGTATGCCCTATTCTCGCCGTGGGTTACGGGAAGGCAGATTAGAATTAAGTCACTGGATTCCAATCACCTTTTCATGCGGTTATAAATATAAACTTCCTGGCCCTTACGAGAACTGGAAAGGGATCTCCATGGGCAACAAAGGCAAGGCAGAGGAATCACAATCCCTGACTTGAAATTATACTGCAAAGCTCTGTGATAAAATCAGCATGGTCCTGGCAGAAAAACAGACCTGAGGATCAGTGGGCCAGATTGGAAGATACAGGCACAACTACAAACACATGAGCCACCTTATCTTGACAAATGAGCCAAACACGTTCCCTGGAAGAAAGGTAGTTTAACAAATGGTGCTGGAAGAAATGGCTGTGTGCCAACGACTAAAACTGGACCCATGTCGACTGTCATGCACTAAAGTCAAAATGGATCAAAGATCTAAATATTAAAGCAGAAACACTAAATCAATTAGGAGGAAGCAGGTAGAAAGCTTGAAGACATGGGCGTAGCAGACATTTCATGAACAAAGCCTAAGCAGCATGAGAAATATTTCAAAGAATCAACTGGGATCTCATTAAAAAACTTCTTTCAAAAAAACCATTTGCGGGGCCAGCGAGATAGCTCAGCAGACTAACGCACCTCCTTAGGGCAGGGACGGTGGTTTGATCCTCAGCCCCGCCCTGGGTGCACTGAGCCAGCCAGAGTCTGGGCAGAGTGGCACACACCTGTAGTCCCAGTGCAGGGGAGGCTGGACACAGGAGGATCACCAGGAGCCCAAGCGCCCCTGCAACAACCGAATAGATTTAAAAAATAATAAAAAATAAAAATAAAAAAGTTGGGGCCAGGGAGATGGCTCAGTAGAATAAGCACTTGCCTGGCAAGCGCAAGGGTTGGAGTTCAATCCCCAGTTCCACCAAAAAATAAAAAAATAAAGATAAAAAAGCATTTGCACATCAAAAGAAATCAAGGGTCAAAAGACAACCCACAGAGTGGGGGAAAAGTAGCCAACTGTCCTCTAGACAAAGGACTTCTATCTAGAACATATAAAGAATTATTTTACAGTATTGTATGGTCAAATTGCTATTTTCTTTCATTTGGATTTCTAGTTACAGAAAATCTTTCCTTATGCCCAAGTTAAAGGATTAATGGCCTGGTATTATGGGTGATAGGCTTTTTAGCAGTGCAGCAGAGAAGTGGAAATAAAAGGATGGAAAAGGCCTTTCTTGCCATTGAGCAGGACCCGGAGGGAATCGATGGCAGGGAGATGGGATCCTCTGACCTGAGCCCGGAAGGCTGAGATTTAGGGACTTTTGCAAGGGGTGGCGTCTGAAGGGCAAGCTCAGGGACTCACAAGGAGCAGACTGGGACTCCCTTGCGTGCGCAGGAAAGAGATCCAGGGTTGTGGTGGAAAGGA